CATCCCTATATTTGTGTACATATGGGAATGTCCAGCCATTTTTTGCGATATGACGCTGCGTTATTTTAACTGACAATTGCACGGTCATGCAACTCTGCACCCAAATGAAATTTATGTCCTTTTTTCCCACTAATAGAGCTTTCTTTTAGTGATATTTGATTGCCTGTGCGTTTTTATTTTTTGCGCTATAAAAAAAAAAAAAAGACCAACAATTTTGAGAAAAAAAACTATATTTTTTAATATTAACCATTAGCCGCCCGGCCAATGGCCGTTTGGCGGCTTCAAAAGTGCTTCAGCATTCCATTTGGCGTGCTCCCGCACATGCGCAGTTTGCACTAATGCAGAGCCTCGCAGCGGCGCGATCTGTCTCCGGCCGTGTACCTCGGACACGGCCGATGACAGATCTGAGTACCGGCCCCCGTTGCTGGTACCATGTGACCTGCTGTGACCAATCACAGCAGGTCACATGACAGTTGTATACAATGGATGGCTTCATTCATGCCATCCATTGTATACTAGTGCCTAGCTGTGAATGGTCACAGCTAATCACATGCACATGTCATGTGATTAGCTGTGACCAAATCACAGCTAAGCACAAAAAAAAAAAAAAAAAACCTGAATGAATCGATTTCATTCAGGTAAATGCTTGCTTATAGCAAAGTAATTCTTTACTGTAAGCAAATTGTGTAAAAAAAAAAAAAAAAATACTGATCACTTCCCCAAAGTAGTACAATGTTACTATGGTAACATTGTACTGCTTTGATCATAGTAAAATATGAAAAAAAAAATCTTAAAAAAAAATTAAAAAAATGTAATAAAAATTAAAAATAATAAAAAAAATAAAAAAAATTATATATATTTTTTTTCATACTGTCACCAGTCAGTGTCCCTGTTCACCGCCATGCCAGTTATATGATGATGCTGTACTGCACTGGTGACAGTATGTAAAAAAAAAATAGTGAAAGTAATTTTTTTAATTTTTTCATTTTCCGAAAAATTATGACAAAAAAAATACAACTTCAAAAAACTCGCCATGCCTCTTATGAAGTACGTCGGACTGTCTACTCTGCAAAAAGGGGTCATTTGGGGGATATCTGTACTATTCTGACATTCTTGGACCTCAAGAAATTAGATTGGCTGTCAGTACTTCAGGATTGATCAATATTCAGATCTATACCATAGTTTGTGAACTCTATAACTTTCCTACAAACTAAATAATACATCCTAATTTGGGTTATTTTCACCAAAGACATGTAGCAGAATACATCTCGGCCTAAATTTATGAAGAACAATTATTTATTTGTAAACTTTTATAACAGAAACAAAGAAAAACGTGTTTTTTTTTTCAAAATTTTTGGTCTTTTTTTGTTAATTTAGCAAAAAATAAAAACCCCAGCGGTGATTAAATACCACCAAAAGAAAGCTCTAGTTGTGTGAAGAAAATGATAAAAATTTTAGTTTGGGTACAATGTTGTATGACCGCGCAATTGTCATTCAAAGTGTGAGAGCGCTGAAACCTGAAAAACTGGCCTGGGCAGGAAGGTGTAAAATTGCACGGTATTGAATTGGTTAAACATGTCTAGTAAAAAAAATTTCAAAAATCAGATTTCGCCATACATTTCATTTTTTCCAAAAAATGTTTTACTAGTAATGGCGGCAATCAGTGACTTATAGCGGGTCTGCAGGACTGCGGCGGGCATTCTGACACTGGGGAAACTGACTTGGTGTCGCTGTCATCCACAGTGGCACCAATATAGTGATCAGGGCTAATGAAAAGCACTGATACTGTACTAATGGCACTGGGCAGGAAGGGGTTAACATCTGGGGCGATCAAAGGGGTTAATTGTGTGCTGTTTTACATATTGGGCTGTGTTTGTGCTTCACTGTAAGCACACTGCTTTGCATGGCTGTGCTATGCACAGCCATGCAAAGCAGTGTGCAGGAGTTGAAGGTGGAGAGAACTGTTTACAAACCGTTTTCCCTCCCCGTCGGAGATGCTCAGCAATCATCAGCCGGGACCTGGTGATTGACAGCCGAGGCCCCCCCCGTCGGTGTGTTTTGTGATGCTGTGTGTGCAATATATATGTATATATATATATATATATATATATATATATATATGCTATATGGGGCGGACAAGAAGCGGTTAAGTGAATAAAAAAAAATATATAATTTTTTTTTTAGTAATAAATGAAAGTTACACCCAAGTACATCCCCCCCCCCCAAATAAAAAAATAGAGACACCCCCCCCCCACGCATGTACAAATGTAAAAGCACACGCTGGCACATCTGCGCATGAAAACGTCAATTACGATACACATGTTACATATTACCGTGTGTGCTTGGATGAGAGCAATAATTCTAGCATGAGACCTCCTCCATAATACTGCACTGATGACCTATAAGGGGCTTTAAAAGTGTTGCCTATAGAAAATATAGGGTACTGAAGTTCGTCATCGTTTCACGAGCGCACGCAAATTTAGGGTTTGACATGTTGAATATCTATTTACTCGATGCAACCTCATATTTTATATTTTACAAAAAAAATGGGTAATTTATTGCTTTTTTTTTTTTTTTTTGTACCCTATTTTTTACTGAAATTTTGTGGCAATATCGTGACTTAAAAAATTGTAACTACCACTATTTCATTCTCTTGGGTTTCTACTTTCAGAAAATATATCATATTTGGGGGTTTTATGTAATCTTCAGGCCTAAAATGATTTTTTTAAACTTGTGCAAAAAGCAGCAAAAACGGCACTGGCAGCGAAAGGGATAAAGGATAAGCCCTGACACTCCCCTTCCCTGACAAGCACCCAATCAGTGCTCATTACACTGCAAGGTCTCTCTCCTCCCTGCTAGTCCCTGGGTGCTGTGCTGGACACAGGCAGGGAGCTGAGGAGGAGATAAACAGTGCAATGTTCAAATTATTACATGTTTAAGTCGCCATAAAGCCCCTTTTGTTTGTGAAAGCTCCAGACATACCTAAAATCACCTCCAATTTAAATATGGTTTTGGTTAAAATGTATTTTTTTTTATCTGAACAAGTAGATTGGGACACGATTTAGTCCCTGGATAAGTAGTTTTTTAAAAAAATTTCCACACCCCTGTGATCATATCCTTTCCATGGGATCAGTGTTAATGCATACTGTTTTCTGCGTACTTAAGATGCTTTGTCCTGATCAATGAAGCCTACGGTACATTCTTACCACTGATCAAATTGTTTCATCAACCAAGATGCTTGAATCTGTAGCAAGCAGCAAAGCACTTTACATAACTCTGCTTCTATATTATATTTTTATTGTGTGTCCCATCTAAATGGAGAGCACTAGGCCTGGAGCGAGGCTTCCTAGCATGTCACTGATTTTAGAAGTTGCAAAGTGCTATTGTTTAGAAGCTGATGCTTCTGGGCAGCAGCTTTTCCAGAACATAGCAGATGCTCTGCAATATGGGGAATCTTGATAATATGGGACATAAGGTACTGAATATTACTTTTGTCTTGAGCACAGCTAGCAAGTACTGAATTTCTGAGACCGCTATGCTATAACTGTATTTCGACTATGTAGCTGGAAATGACCAGTGAACAAACCTCCAATTTGCCAAGTATAGCATTTTGCAAAGGCTAGACTGTTTAATTTAAAAATGTAGATTGCTCAGGCAGTGCTTTATGTCTTTATTTTACATGTGTCTATAATTTATAAAGCTTGCAGAATGTTATTACACAGGACAGCTGATAATAAATAAATACAAATAATACAACAATTTACCATACATCTCCTCAAGCTATAGCTATACTTTATTTTGCTATTACAGATGCATTTATGAACACTGTGTTGGCCTGCAAAATGCTTTTGTTTTCTTTTTGCATAAAGGCTGATTTACACTGCCTCGCTGCAGTTTGTCCAGTGTGGGTGCAGCGCAGAGTACCCGCAGTTTTCTTGCAGGTTACCCACGTTTTCCCATAGACTTGTATCGTGTCCCATGCTTTTGGTGCATTTTTTTGACAGTGCGCCAAAGATGCAGTATGCAGGACTTTTTGGTGTGCTTTCAGAAAACTTGTAAAAAGGATATAATAGAAGTCTATGAGAAACCACGAGTAATCCGCACAAAAATCAGGGGTACACTGCGCTGCAGTGTGAAAGAAGCCTCAGGAAAATAAAATTCATCTATTGAAAAAATTATGCACACAACAGTTTGACTACGTAGTTATGTTCTTCCAGGGTAATAAGGGAAATTACTATTTTTTATTATTAATAATAATAATACTAATCATAATTATTATTATTATAATATTATTATAGGATAAGTTAACTTTTGACAAAAAATAATAAATGCCTGTACATCCCATATGGGTGGGCAGATATACTGATAGGAAAAATCAATGAACTACCACGGTGTACCACTGAAAACTACATGCTGACACCTGCTAAGACTGTTGGGACTTGTATTTCATTCATTCACAGAGCTCTGTGAATGAATGACATGGACGTGGCCACCCTAAACAGGAGGAACATGTAACATTTTCCCAAATGAACTTCTCCATCAACTCGAGTCTGAGTCCTAGCGACTTGATGAATAAGAGCTTTAAAACGACGTCTGCTTTGTTCTAGTCTTGAGATCCTGCAGTGTCAGCCCCACAGCTGTAGTCGATGTGTCCAACCACCTAGAAGTTGGTCTCCCTCTTTGTCTTGCTCCTTCAATTTTTTTCAAGCATTATTTCCTTCTCCAGGGATATCTCCCTCTGAAAGTGTGGCCAAAGTAGGACGGTTGCAACGTCATCACTTGGGCTTCTAGTGACATCCCTTCCAAAATCGATCTATTCGTTCTATGGGCTGATCATGGCACCTATAAAATCCTTTCCAGCACCAAAGCTCAAATGAGTCGATCTTCTTTCTATCCTGTTTCTGTAGTGTCCAGCTTTCATAGCTGTAATAGACAACTGAGAAAATGAGCATAGGCTACCTAAGCAATATCTAATCTTGTAATTTGGTATGTCTCCTAAGGATGCTATGAAACATTTGTCTCACCTGCTACCGGAGGACCTGAAGAAGGAGATATATGACCTGTGGGAAGTAAGTGTCATTTTTTTTTTTTTTTGCATTAAAATGCGCACTAATCACCATGCGTGTTTCAAAATATTTCTAAGGTTGTTTTTTTTTTTTTAAATCACAGGCGATTTGAAGGTTATTTGAGTCTTCACTTTGCACAGCCATGAATATGCACTTTTTTTGTTGTCAAATGAGAATTATAGATATAGTGTAATGCTGTATTTGGGAGAACATTTAATTTTACCAGTAGCAGTATTTAAAGATTTTCATTAGCTTACAAGGAATGGTTGCCATAAATGGATGGTTTTAGGAATCACTCACAAAACTGTCCTTTTATGGCAACCATTTATGTGTGTAAATTGCCTATGTTTTCATACCTGCGCATTATGGCAGAAACCTTAAGCACCAGCATCAGAGTTTCATTCCGGTTTAAAGAGTAAGCTCTTCCAATCCTGACACTAACCTTTCCCCATTCAGGTTCTGCCATTTTACACTTTAAAGTGGTTGTACACTCTTGCATATAACCAGTGAAGTGGCTGGCTTCAGGTGATGCACAGAAAAAAATTAAAAAGTAAAAAAAAATCTTCCTACATAAATTTTACCTGATTATATGCAATATTCTCTTTTCTACATTTGTTCAAAGTGCATAATATATGAAGCTTGTCTGTACTTTCAGAAAACGGGGTATAGAGCTGAAGTTACACACTGCAGAGATCAGTGAGGAGAGCTGATTAGAGAGAAGGGACACTTCCCCTTTCATAAAGCACACAGGAACAGAGCTGAGGCTGTAAATCACAGGCTGTGTGCTAGAGGCGCCTACCCTGTCAAATTTTTTTTATCTCGGTGTCAGAAAAACTTGTCAGAAGTGACCCATTCAGATAGCAGAGGATCGATGCAACATACAGAAATGACACTTGGTTCCCTGGGCTAAGTACACACTATAGAGGGATATGCTTTGTCCATATTTCATGTCTGAAGTTTACTACTTTAATGATCGGGCCAGCTGTTATTGCTGGGGAAGGGGCGGCGGGTAGCTGGGCATTGGTTAGGTTTAGGTACAGTCTGCCCACATTTGCCATCATATACATTCCTTTTCAGAGTCTTTAGCCCTTTTGTAATCAAAACACTCTGTGTGTCTCGCACATACAGTGAAGAGCTCACTTTAGAATACAGGGGTGTGTCCCCACATAGCCCCTCCTGCTGTACAACTTTCCTTGTACAAAGGCACATGCCCTAGGTCACATCAGCTGGGCACTAAGCTGGGAAACTGTTGCACAAAACAGCAATGAACTTTCTAAATCTGGCTATCCAAAAACAATTGAGGGTATAGGCAGCTTAATTACCTATGGAGAAGTGATGGCCTGCAACACAGAGCTAACAGACAAGTTTCAGCAGTAAGAGGTCTGAGATGTGCAGCATAGATACCAGTGGACGGGCTGTCTCTCTTTTCATAGAGAAGAGGTTTCCTGGGTGTGTAGCTGGAAGCTGGCTAGAGCTCTGCTGAAAAGGTGCCAGGAAAGCCCCTGTACAGCCATCTCCTCTGATGGGCATCATACTACTGGAAAATGCCATTGATCACTAACCATGTCAGGGAGTTGCAGCCATTCTCCTTACAGTTTACCTATCCCTACACACTCTCTGAAGCTAAGACACAATTCATAGTAATGTCAGTCCCTGGTTGTCTGTGAGAACTCCTACCCTCCTGTTGAGGGGGACCTACTGCTGGAGCTCTAATCTGATAGATGCAGTAGGTCACAGGAATCCAAGGACTGGCAACAGAGCGCAGTGTATCACAGGTTTGGAGAGAAGTGTGTGTGCGAGGTTAGTAGGTTACAGAGAATTAATCTAGTTGTTTTGTGATGGGGAGCAGAGGTGAGTATTTTCAGACCTGCAGAGTTCTGCTGAGAGCTGGCCGGGATTACCGAGAGCTGGCCATTGTAAACTGCTGTGCCCACTCTTGTTCAGTGATGAATGTGTCGGTTTTGAACAGTGGGTGTTCAATTCAGAAACCGCAAAGTGCCATCATGTCTCCACCCAAACCTTTCTTACAGCACTGCAAAGATGGTCATGGGTGCAAATCCTATACACTAAGACACAGAGTGAGAGAAATAAAGATTGAACTTGTGGGTATGTGTATTTCAATGGATTGTAAGCTCCTTGAGGGCAGGGACTGATGTGTATGTATAATACATATGTAAAGCACTGCGTAAATTGACGACACTATATAAGTACCTAAAATAAATGAATAATATGTATAAATTGCCACTAGTAGATTGGCTTCCCTCAAGTATGGGTTTGTCTACTTTACGTTTTTTTGAGAAAGATAAACGCCTTTCACACTGATTGCACTTTACTGTGCTAAAATGAACTTTTCCAATGTGACAAAATGCACGAAAACTATTTCCCTTTAAATCCTGTGCAACAGTTCACATCACTGTGCTGTGGGTGTGCTCCCTTTTGAAATATCATGCATGCTGCATCCTTGGCACAGTTTTTAAAACGTTCACCAAAAACACACCTTCCATTGTAAGACAATGGCAATGCATCAAAAACACACTGCCTCTGCGGTTTTGTTGCATTTTTTTTGTCACACATCCATGTTCACAGGTGCACACTGAGAGTCAGGAAACCAGAAAGAGAACCAAAAAAAGCTTTAAAAATGCAATATGTGTTATAAAAAATGTATACTGCGTTTTTAAGTGCACCGGTTTGAAAGGGCTCTTTCTGTCATGTCCATTGAGAGACCCAGCAATCTTACAGTATACTGTTGGGTCATAATGCTGTCTACAAGAGGATTGAAAACTGGCAAATGAAAAACGTAAGCTAGCCCATTGCCTCTGCATTTTGATAGGGTCCTAGAAGTATGGATATCTTTACTGTAGTTCTACTGAGTTTGAACCGCATCCAATCCACATAATATGTCAAATAAAATTGCTTCCCATGATGCCTGTTTACATATGTGTGGTGCACTGGCAAAGTGGGTTCAGTGTGGTTCAAAAAAGAGTCATGTACGATTTCTGAGCAGTGCCTTCAGGTTCAGGTGCAGATTACAGGCTGTTGACTTCTATGGAAACCGTTTCTAAACTGCACATATGTGAACAGGATAAAATCAGGAGCTAATCCTGTCCTGAACCTGACATAAACCACTAAACTACGGTTTCAATTAGCTGTGAATTTTTTTGGTAGCTTTTTTCAAATGCTGCTCAGAGCATTTGACCTCAGTCAGGGTTCATTACCACCTCACTGAGCGACATATATGGCAGATATATGTATCTGTCTTTTTTAAGCCTAGCTTTGGAGTACCGCTGAATCGGATGTTGTGGGGCTGGTCTTAAAGTGACCTTCCAACTTACATTGTCTTCATATTTATAGTTATAATTAATACTTGTAATATACAATATGTTTTCCTCTTTTAGATTTTTTTTCCCCCTACAGTATGTCATTGGTATACATACATTTCTTGCTGATGAGTTCTCTGCCTGTGACTGTCAGTGCCACTGTCAAAAGGACAAAAAAATCAGTGTCTACTGTGTGGTGTTATCTTCTTTTGATTCCTGCAACTGTTCTGTAGAAGATGTCATGGTTACCAAGGTGACCAACTCTTCCTTTACATTTTAAGCCAAGATTGCTTGTTCAGGAGGAATCTAATCCAGGGAATTTTTTTTCAGTCACTTATGTTCATTAGTGCAGAGAAGTCTGAGGCAGTGCATAAAGATCTCGCAAAAATGCATCCCCTGTCCATTCCATCCAAACTGCTTATTGGGCTTCATGCACATGGCCATACAGGGGCTGTGCAGTATGCAGAACCTACATAATCTCTCTGTACGGCCATGTGCATGAGGCCTTAATAACCATGAATCTCACATTTTACTGACTGAGAAAACAAGTACTGATTGGGAGGTATGGCTGTTGCTGTGTTCCACTAAGTGCACTTTACACATGTGGTCATTGTGTGGCTGTTTATGGTTTTGCTCTCAGGATATACAGTAGCTCTGTACATCCCTTCTGCCTTTTGACCAGGGCAAAAAAATGCCTTCTGCATATTTTAAAGTACTGTAAAATCTTATTAGAAAGGTGCTCTTTGGGACAACGCTGCCATAGCCTTGACAAATATCCTGCTGCACTATTAAAGTGGTATTTTTGAATATTTTTGTCATGTTTAAATAATTTACTTATCAAAAACTAATTTTTTGTTTCAAAGGACAAGCTCACCTTTCATAACATGTTACACCCATATTCAGGGTGTAACATGTTATGATCAGACCGGCTCCCGCTCCCCCTGCTCCACCTGCTCCACCGCTTTGACAGCTAGCAGGGGATCTTTTCCCCCCTCGCTAGCTGTCAAATTAAAAAAAAAAAAACATGGCCGTTCAGCTATGCCTGACTGGGTCACTCATTCACTGTTTTCTGTGAATGAGAAAACTGCAAGTCCTAACAGCCTTTGAGGATGTCGGCTTGTAGTTCTCTATGAACTACCACAGTGCTGTGTAGCGCCGTGGTAAATCATTGAATCTTCCTTTCAGCATATCTGTTTGCCTGTACATCCCATACGGGAAAGCAGATATACTGACAGATCTGCAGGAGACCTGCATAGTGCAATGGTTTACAGGCTCCTGCAACAAAAAGTAATAAATGCACATTTTTTTTACCTGAATTTATTTATTTTGTATAAAGGTAAACTTATGGTTAAACGATATGGATAGGATAAGAATGGTTAAACATTTTTCTTTCTGGAGAGGATATGAATGGTTAAACATTTTTCTTCTTGCTGTCTGTCTCATTGGGGAGATTTTTCTTCATTTTCTGTCATGCTGACACAAAAGGAAGTTGGAGGAAATCTCTCAGAAAAAAAAAAAAGGAAACATCTTAGACAGTTTTCAGTGCAACAAGTAGCGTTCTCATTGGATGATTTTTCTCTTATTCTTGACTCAGTGACAACTCAAAACTTTTGCTGTTCCTTGAAGTCCTGGTTATTTCAGTGAATCTCAGTGAATCTTCAGTGAATCTCCACAGTGTGGACACAG